GCATTATTCACTACAGTACCACAAGTTACCCATCTGTATCTCCTTTCATCAGCTCCGTGCAGACAGATTGAATAGTACCTACTGGAGATTCTGCCTTCCGCCATGCTCCCTAGCACCAGGTTCCCTGTTGAAAGCTTGTAAGCCAGTCACTTCTCACCTTTGTTTAACTATTATCTCTTAACACTAAACCATAAACGCTAACACTAGACCCATTCCAAGACCTGTCTGTATAATAACACCTAAAATGTCTAACAGTAATGCTAAATCATTGTCTTACTGGTCTCAGAAAACGGGATTATTTTGCAGACTTGAGAGCTAATGTTAATTGATCTGCTATGTTTTTCACTTGCTTGTTGCCCATTATCCCGTCTTTCCCTCCAATTTCTCCCATTTGTAATGGAATATCTATCTACTTTGTGCATGTTCTACTACTGTATTTTGGAATCAACTCTAGATTTCATAGGTTCTCAGATGAAGAGGAAATTTGCTTCATGATGGAATATGCCTATTGTATTACCCATATTTGATTTAGATGATTCAGAAGATAAGATTAGAGTTGATGTAAGCCTTTTGGGATAGTATGACAGAATGAATGTGTTTTACATGTGGCAAGGACATGAAGTTTGAAGGGTTAAAGGATGCTTGGTATGACATTGTAGGATATGCATGGGACAGATAACCTCAAGGTTGACAACTCAAACCCACCAGCCGCTCCTCAGAAACCCAATACAGAGTCATTATGAGTCGGAACCAACTGGATGGCACTTGACAACAACAACAAAGAGTGGCTAGACTCCACATAAACAACAAAGAGGGGCTGAACTCCACATAAACAACAAAGAGTGGCTGAACTTCACATAAACAACAAAGAGTGGCTGAACTTCACATAAACAACAAAGAGGGGCTGAACTTCACATAAACAACAAAGGGGCTGAACTTCACATAAACAACAAAGAGGGGCTGAACTCCACATGGCTGTCAGTTTGTTGTACTGTGGTGGTTTGTGTGTTGCTATAATGCTGGAAGTTAGTCCAGTGGTGTTTAAAAATACCATCAGCGTCCCCCATGCGGACAGGTCTCAATGGCGCTTTCACACTAAGAACAGACTAGGAAGAAGGAACAGGTGGTTCCCTGAAAGCCTCAGGTATAGCAGCAGAGCATTGTTTGACATACTTCTGGAACTATGGAGACAGAGTGTGACTGGGGAACAGCTGCCTCTTGAAGGTAGAGTCAATCTTAATGACATGGATGGAGAGAAGCATTTGGAATCTTCATGGGAGCAAAATGAGAAAAAACAGCTATAAACATCCATTAATAATTAGAATATTGGAACGTACTAAGTATGAATCTAGGAAAATCGGAAATTGTGAAAAATGGAATGTGTAAAGATCAATGGTCTAGGTATCAGTGAGCTGAAATGGACAGGTATTGACCATTTTGAATTGGACAGTCGTACAGCGTACTGTGGACTCCTGGTGTGGTACTGTAGGATCAGCACTGGACCGTGAGCCACAGGGTCAGCAGTTCAAACCCACCAGGTGCTCCTTGGAAACCCTATACAGGGTCAGTGTGAATTGGAACCGACTTGATGGCACTTAACAACAGCTTACTATGCTAAGAATGACAATTGAAGGGGAATGGTGTTGAATTCATTGACAAATGCAAAGATCTGTCTTGAAATACTACATTGGTTGTGTGTGATAGGATAATATCTAGACCCCCTACAAGTTCACACCATTGTTATTCAAATTTATGCACAAACCATCATAGTCAATGATGAACAAATTGAAGAATTCTACCAGCTAAGGTTTTCGGTGGCTAAACGTTCAGAAGTAGTTCGCCTCTCCTTCCTTATAAAAGGCAACTACACAAATGGACCTCCCCAGATGGATTTACACAAAAACCAAATTGACTACAACTGTGGAAAGAGACAATGGAGGAAGCTCAGTATCATCACCCAAAACAAGGCCAAGGGCAGACTGTGGAACAGACCATCAATTGCTCATGTGCAAGTTCATGCTGAAGCTGAAGAAAGTTAAAACAAGTTCACGAGAGCCAAAATATTACCTTAAAGAGATCCCACCTTAATTTAGAGATCATCTCAACAACAGATTTAATGCATTAGACACTAATCACTGGATGTGGATGACATCAAGTACATCATACAGGAAAAAACCAAAGGGTCATTAAGAAGACAAGAAAGCAGGAAAAAAACAAAAAAGATGTCTGAAGAGACTCTAAAACTTTCTCTCCAGCATAGAGATGCTAAAGCAAATGGAAAAAATGAGGAAGTAAAAGAGCCGAACAGGAAATTTCAAAGGGCAGCTCAAGAAGATAAAGTCAGGTATTATAATGAAATGTGCAAAGATTTGGAGTTAAAAAACCCAAAGTGAAGAACACACTCAGCATTTCTCAGGCTGAAAGACCTGAAGAAAAAATTCAAGCCTGATATGGCACTGTAGAATAAGCACTAGATTGCCAGGTCTCTTTGAACTGCAAGGTGGCAGTTCAAACTCACCATCCACTCCTTGGAAACCCTATAAAGGGTCACTATGAGTTGGAACTGACTCGAAGGCACATGACAACAAAACAAATGGGCAAAATATTGAATGATGCAAAAAGCATCAAAAGAAGATGGAAGGAATACACAGTCACGGTTGGTTGGTTATGTGCCTCGGAGTCAGTTCCAACTCACAGTGACCTTCTATAGGGTTTACGAAGCTGTATATCTTTACAGCAGCAGAGAGCTTCATCTTTTTCCAGTGGAACAGCTGGTAGTTTTGAACGGCTGAACTTGAGGTTAGCAGCCTGACTCGTAACTACTTTGCTACCAGAGAACTGGTTGAAGTTGAACCATTTCAAGAGGTAGCATATGATCAAGAGCCATTGACATTGAAGGAAGAAGTCCAAGGTGCACTGAAGGCATTGTCAAAGAACAAAGCTTCAGTAACAGATGCAAAACAAATTGAAAACTGATGTGGCACTGAAGGCACTCACTCATCAATGTCAAGAAATTTGGAAGACTAGGTACCTGGTTAACAGATTGAAAGTGATCCATATTTGTGCATATTTTCATTGAGAAGTGACCCAATGGGATGTGGAAATTATTGGGCAATATCATTGATATCACATGCAGATAAAATTTTATTGAAGATAATTAAAAAACAATTGCAACAGTACATTGACAGGGAACTGCCAGTGGTTCAAGCCGGATTTAGACGACAACGATGAAGGAGGGATATCATTGCTGATATCAGATGGATCTTGGCTGAAAGCAGAGAGCAGCAGAAAGTTGTTTTGTTAAGTGCTGTAGAGTTTGTTCTGACTCATAGTGGCCCTGTATAGGATTTTCTAGGAGTGGCTGATGGGTTTTAATCTCTGACCTGGCTGTTCAAACTGACCTTATGGTCCAGTGCTTATCCTAGAGTGAGTGCCAAACCAGGACTCTAGGTGTTTACCTGTGCTTTATTGACTCTGTAAAGGCCTTCAACTGTGGATCCTGTCTAGCTATATGGACACCGATGCTCATTTTGTTAAGTTTTGGCAAGGTCGGCGGTTCAAGCTTACGAGCTGCTCCTCGGAAACCCTATTGTCGTTGTCAGGTGCCATCGAGTCGGAACTGACTCATATAGCGACCCCATGCACAGCAGAATGAAACAATGTCCGATCCTGGGCCAACCTCACTACCGCTGCCACACTTGACGCCATCAATGATGCCACCTGGCCAATCCATCTCGTTAGGGGTCTTCCCCTTTTTCTCTGACCCTCCACCTTACCCAGCATGACATCCTTCTCCAGCGACAGTTTCCTCCGGACCCTATGTCCAAAGTATGAGAGACGAAGCTTAGCCATCCTGGCCTCCAAGGAACACTCTGGCTGCACTTCTTCCAAAACAGATCTATTGGTTCTTTTGGCAGTCCATGGCACTTTCAGTATTCTCCTCCAACACCACAACTCAAAGGCATCAATTCTTCTATGATCTTCCTTATTCACTGTCCAGAATGCGACTGGGGAAACCCTATAAAGAGTCACTATGGGTCGGAAGCAATTCGACGGCACTTAACAACAACAGTATTTGTTTAGGCAAAAAGTTTTGGAGTCACTCTGAATGTTCTCTTTCTTTCACACCCTGCATCTGATCCATTAGGAAATCCTATCTGCGCTTCCTTCCAATGCCATCTAGAGTATGAGCACTTCTTACCACACCCACAGCTACCACTCTTGCCCAGGTTACTACCGTCTTCCACCTGGTTGTTAAAATGGCTTCTACCTGGTCTCTCTGTTTCCTCCTGGGTCTCCCTTTGCTCTCAAACAGCATCCAGAGTGAACTAGAGTTATGACAGTTCTGATAAAAATTCTAAGCTTCCTTTCTCAGAGCAGATATCAAAGTCTTCACAGTGATCCGTTAATCTGGCCTTCTGGTTTTTTCTTAGCATCTTTTCCTGCTCTTCAGTCCCTTTCCCTGTTATTGTAGCTACAGTGACGTCTTGATGGTTCTGTGAACACATCGGGTACGTACCCCTTTCAGGGCCTTTGTACTTCGTGTTTCTTCTGTAGATACAGCCTGTTGTCACAACTTTCTTCAGGTCTTATTTCAGATGTTACCATTTCAGCAGGCTAACCCATTCCAAAATGTCAACCTTTCATCCTGGTATTTCCTTACCTCCTTCCCTTGCTTTAACTTTCTCCTTAACACTTTTTAATGCATTTATCTTGTTTATTGTCTGTTCATTAGAATGTGGAAAAGATTGTTAGAGGCAGGTGAGGTTTAGTGCACTGTAATTTCTCCATTACCTAGTATAGCACTTGATTCAGGTGCTCAGTGTATTTGTGTGAAATGGTTGATATTTCAGTCAGAAGTAGTGGAGAGAGATTCACCAACATTAGCAGTTCTCCAGTGTCAGGCTGTTAACCTGCTTTGCATTTTGGTTCCACATGTGGATTACTGTAGTGAAATGTATGTCATCCCAAAAAATGATAACATGGTTGGGTCATTTTAGGAGAGAAATTGCTGACTTTGAACAACAAAAAGTGAAAGAATTGGCTCAAATAGAAGAATTTAAAAAGGAGGAAATGAGGAAGCTGCAAAAAGAACGCAAAGTTTTTGAAAAGTATACTACAGTTGCAAGATCTTTTCCAGATAAAAAGGAACGAGAAGAAATACAGGTATGCCAGCATATTATATTGTATTCATATAAATTGCTAAGGGTGACAGTCTCACTAGATTGATTTGATGTATCAAAGAGATATTGGGTATCAATCCATTAAACATTCACTCATTCAGCAAGTAATAGGCCCAAGACATTGCATTAGGAACTGAGCCTTATAGTCTAACTTTTAACAAGTAAAACACCAATTACTTTCTTAAAAGACTTCTAATAAAAGACTATAACATCATGACTGAATTAACAAATCAGATATTGAAGTTGGTCTTTTGACAGCAAATATGTTAATAATTTTTATTTATATAATGCTTTTAAGGAATATATAAAAACTAGGTGCTTAATTTTAAAAGACAAATAAAAGGCCACATTGTGATCCTTATTTAATTCAAAGTTAGGAATGGACATAATATATTACTGCTGTTAGGTGCTGTCCTTATCCACAACCGACTGAAATACTGCCCAGTAAATCTCACAATTACTGAGCCTAGTGATGCTGCCATTGTGCCAGTCCATCTTCTTTGGGGGGTGGGGGTGGGGCTTCCTCTTTTTCACTGACCCTTTTCTTTACCAAGCATGATGTCCCCCAGGGATTGGTCCCTCCTGATAATATGTCCGAAGTATGAGAGATGAAGTTTGGCCATACTAACTTCTCAGGAGCACTCTGGCTATACTTCTTCCAACACAGATTTATTTGTTCCTTTGGCAGTCCATGGTACATTTAATATTCTCCTCCGACATCATAATTCAGATGCATCAATTCTTCTACGGTCTGCCTTATTCATTGTCCAACTTTCACATACATATGAGGTTATTGAAAATACCATGGCTTGGGTCAGGCACATTTTAGTCCTCAAGCTGACATCTTTGCTCCTGAACACTTTAAAGAGGTCTTGTGCAGAGATTTGACCAATGCGATATGTTGGTTGATTTCACTGTTGCTGCCATGATTGTTGATGTTTGATCTGAACAAAATGAAGTCTTTGACAAGGCCAACCTTTTCTCCATTAGTCTGGATGGGTATTTAATGATCCAGTTGTGGAGGTTTTTGTTTTCTTTATATTGAGATGCAATCCGTACTGAAAATTGTGGTCCTTGATCTTCATCAGTATTTTAAAGTCCTCTTCACTTGCAGCAAGCAAGGTTGTATCATCTGCATATCGCAGGTTTGTTAATGAATCTTCCTCCAGTCCTGATACTATGTTCTTCATATAATCCAACTTCTCAAATTATTTGCTCAGCTTATATATTGAATAAATATGGTGCAAGACTAACAATTGTGGTGCACACCTTTCCTGATTTTAAACTATTCAGTGGCTCTTTGTTCTGTTCAAATGACTGCCTCTTGGTCTATGTACGGGTTCCTCATGAGCACAGTTGTCCCCAAACATTCACTCTGTATAATGTTGTCCTTCTTTCTTGTCTTCTTACTGGCCTTTTACTTTCTTCATGTGTGATGTTCTTGATGTCTTCCCAGAACTCTTGGTCTTCAGTCATTAGTGTCTAATTCATCAAATCTGTTCATGAGATGATTTCTAAATTCAGGTGGGACATATTCAAGGTCATAATTTGACTCCCGTGACTTCAGCATGAACTTGAATATAAGCAATTGATGGTGTGTCCCACAGTCTGTCCCTGGTCTTGTTTTGGCTGATGCTATGTAGCGTCTGCACCATGTTTTCCACAGGTGTAATCAGTTTGATTTTTGTGTATTCCGTGTGGTGAGGTCCGTGTGTATAGTTGTCTGTTATGTTGTTTAAACAGGTTTTTGCAATGAAGAAATCATTGGTCTTGCAAAATTCTACCATGTTATCTCCAGTATCATTTCTATCATCAAGACCATATTTTCCAACTACTGATCCTTCCTCTTTGTTTCCAATGTTTGCATTTCAATTGCCAGTGATTATTAGTACATCTTGATTGTCTGTTTGATCAATTTCAGACTGAAGAAAGTGGTAAAATTCTTCATTTTCATCCTCACTGGCATTAGTGGTTGGTGCATAAATCTGAATAATAGTTGTAGTAACTGGTGTTTCTTGTAGGTGTATGGACATTATCCTATCACAGACAACATTATACTACAAGATGGATGTTGAAATGTTCTTTTTGATAGTAGGATTAAGTGACTGTTAACAGGGTTACCCATGAAAACTTGGAACTACTGATGTGAATATAAAATGAGTCCTCTCAGAAGCAGCAGTGGGGCTCTCCCTACAAAAAAAATGAAGCGCCAGAGTGGGGCACGTCCCGTGGACCCCAGATCTCTGCTCATAGACCCTCCCTGATTCGGGAGGTAGAGCAGTGACACCAGAGATGCAGCAGGGAGCAGCAGAAACTGGAGCCAGAGCAGCAGACAGCAGTGCGCGTCCCCGCCCTGGGAAGCTGCATGTAGAGTGGGGTGCTTCAAACCCATAATTGGAAGTACAGCCTTTTGGCCTAAGGTTTATACTGGGGCCAAGTGCCTTTCTGGTGTCTATTAGCAGCTTTCAAAGAAGTTGGCAGAGCAGAGCAGATGCCAGGCCATAGGCCCAAGGCATTTAGCAGCAGTCTGTGTCCGAGTGGGGTTTGAGGTGAAGGAGAATGCACTCTTGTGTCTGTCTCTACTCCTCCCCTCCGCTCTGTCACTCCCCAGAACTCGTCAGCACCTTCTGTGTAGCTGACTAGTCTCTTCTTTGCTCTTAGTGTCACTCGTGGTTTCTGTTAGCACAGTTGTAAATTGCTTCTAGACACTTTCAGTAGTTTCTTAATTGATATCATTTAGACCAGTCCTGGTGTGGTGCTGTGGGTTAACGTGCTGGTCTGCAAAGTCGTTTTGAATCTCACGGTCGGTGGTTCAATCCCATCAGCTGCTCCTTGGAAACCCTATACAGGGTTGCTCTGGGTTGGAACAGACTTGATGGCACTTAACAACAACAAAGAAACTTATTTTATTAAAACTTGTTTCTTCTTACGAAATTCAAATAGAATCAGTTTTTAGGGTAGTACATAGACCAAGAGGTAGTTGTTCAAAGAACAAGGGAACACTGGATGGTTGAAAATTAGGAAAGCTATGCACCAGGATTGTTTTGTTTGTTTTTTTCCACCATACTTACTCAACCTGTATGCTGAGCAAATAATTCAAGAAACTGGGTTATATGACGAAAAATGTGGCAACATGGTTGGAGGAAGACTCAACAACCAGCGATATGCAAGTGATACAAACTTGCTGCTGAAAGCGAAGAGGATTTAAAATACTTACTGATGAAGATCAAAGACCATAGCCTTCAGTATGGGTTGCATCTCAATGTAAAGAAAACAAAAATCCTCACCACTGGACCAATAAACAACATTCATATATATGGAGAAAAGATTGAAGTCAAAGACTTCATTTTGCTTGGATCAGCCATCAGCACTCATGGAAGCAGCAGTCAAGAAATCAAATGATGTATTGCATTAGGCAAATCTGCTGCACAAGACCTCTTTAAAGTGTTAAACAGCAAAGATGATGTCAGTTTTAGGACTAAGATGAGCCTGACTCAAGCCCTGGTATAAGGAAGACCATAGAAGAATTGATGCATTTGAGTTATGGTGTTGGAGGAGAATATTGAAAGTACCATGGACTGCCAAAAGAACAAACAGATCTGTGTTGGATGAAGTGCAGCCAGAGTGCTCCTTGGAGGCCAAGATACCCAAACCTTGTCTCTTGTACTTCGGACATATTGTTAGGAGGTAAGAGTCACTGGAGAAGGATATCATGTTTGTTAAGGTGGAGGGTCAGAGAAAAAGAGGAAGACCCCCAACAAGATGGATTGGCTTAGTGGCAGCATCAATGGAATCAAGTGTGGCAACAGTAGTGAGGTTGGTCCAGGATTGGGCAGTGTTTTGTTCTGCTGTGCATAAGGTCGCTATGAGTCGGTGCCGACTCAATGGCACTTAACAACAACAGCAACAACACCTCACCACTGGACCAATAAACAACATTCCTATCAACGGAGAAAAGAGTGAAGTTGTCAAGGACTTCATTCTTCTTGGATCAACTATCAACACTCATGGAAGCAGCAGTCAAGAAATCAAATGACGCAAATCTGTACAAGACCTTTTTAAAGTGCTGAAGAGCAAAGATGTCAGCTTGAGGACTAAAGTGTGCCTTATGCAAGCCATGGCATTTTGCATAAACTCATATGCATGTTAAAGCTGGACAGTGAATAAAGAAGACCATAGAAGAATTGATGCTTTTGAGTTGTGGTGTTGGAGGAGAATATTGAAGGTGCCATGGGCTGCGAAAAGAACCAACAGATCCGTTTTGGAAGAAGTGCAGCCAGAGTGCTCCTTGGAGGCCAGGATGGCCGGACTTCATCTCTCATACTTTGAACATAATTATCCGGAGGTACCAGTTCCTGGAGAAAGATACCATGTTTGGTAAAGCGGCGAGTTAGAGAAGAAGAGGAAGACCTCCAACGAGGTGGACTGGCACAGTGGCCTCAGCCATGGGTTCAGGTGTAGCAATGATTGTGAGTTTGGCCCAGGCTCGGGCACGTCGGGGACCTGCCTTGACATAGGGGTTCGGTTCACGAGGAGGAGATACCTGACGGTGGTAGATATAACAAAAGAATACACAGATAGACAGAAGAAGGGGGACAAGGAGGCACCCAGAAACCAGGGTGGGTGCATCACTGGTGGGCAGACTTGGGCCTACAGGCATCATGGCCTCTGCAGGCAGCAACTCACTGCCCTGCAATCTTTACCGCATGCCCTCCAGCCCGTAATGCACTGCAATCTTTACTGCATGCCTTCCAACCCGTAATGCACACCTGGGGAGGACCGGGCCTCTGTTTTATTTAGGGGAGGAGCTTCACACCAAGCTGGGAGGGACTTAGGCAAGGTACAGTTAACATCAGTAATTTTCCAGATATTCAGGTAACTTTACATTGTACTTCGCTGGTTCGAATCCCAGGCCAGCAACTTGGTTTCTCAGGCTCAATTAACATATCTATAGCCCCTGAGCTCAGGTGGGGGAAGGTGAGAGGTAAGGACAAAAGCTTGGGCGGAGTCCCGCTGTTTTGGCTTCCTGAGCCAGGTCTGCACCTGGAAAAGGATTAGGGAGGATGGGTTTTTTGTCTATAGAACAAAGAACCAAGAAGTAGCTAAGATAATTTTAGTTAATCCTTTGGAGAAAGGCTTAACCTTGCAACCTTTAGTCTCGGCTTTAGGAAAATGTCACATTTATCTGTGGATTATCAAGAGCTCCGTGTATTAAATTAATACATGTTAACAATATTAAGATGAAAAACAATTTGCCATTAACTGCCAGTGGCCTCATTTGTTACACTTGGGCCTATAGGGCCTCGAACCTCTGACCAGTCTTACACGGTCCACAACACGGGCAGTGTTTTGTTCTGTTGTGCATAGGGTCACTATGAGTCAGTACCGACTAGATGGCACCTAACAAGTTTTGAATTTAGAATTTCTTATTCTTCCTTGTACCTCAGCTCTTCCTTCAGTAGAAATGAATCCCTGATCATTTTCCCTTCATCACATGTCCCCCATTTATCTTTTCTTTCTTCATGTGGATATCTTTGACCGTATTACCTCATGGCAGTATTAGTGTAGTGGCCTCGTGTCTGTCTTCTGGAGTTAATTTTGTTGGATGGAATGTGGTAAGGGTGTAAACTGATTCTACCCTACTTCCTCTTCTGAAAAATTCAGTGGTTTTGAAATGTCATTTACTGACTAAACATTTTTTCATGCCAGTCCTGGTGTGGCGCTATAAGATAACCACTCAATCTCAAGGTTGGTTTGAACCAAAAGGTCGGCTGTCTAAACCCACCAGCTGCTCCCCGGAAACCCTATACTATACAGGGTTGCTATGAATTGGAAATCACTCGATGCCTAACAACGATGCTTCCTACAAGTTGTGGCACTGTGGGCTAAGCGTTGGCCTGCTATCCACAGGGTCAGCAGTTCAATCCCAGCAGCTGCTCTTTGGGAGGAAGATGAAGCTGTCTGCTCCCATGAAGATTTAGAGCCCCAGAAACCCTCTGTGGGGCTGCTATGAGTGGAAATCAACTCAGTGACAGTGGATTTGATGGGTTTAGTACTTCCTTCATCAGATGTTAAATTCTTAGGATAGGACCTATTTGGGCTGGCTTTTTTGTTTCATTGATGTGTCTTTATTCTTGTATTACATTATTTTAATTCTGGTAATGTTCTTCCCATCTCCCCCACCCTTCTTGGAGGCTTTAAAACAGCAGATAGCAGATTTACAGGAAGATTTGAAAAAAAAAGAAGCAAAATGGTCAAGTACACATAGCCGTCTTAAAAGCCAAATAGAAATGCTACTCAAAGAAAACACAGACCTCCGGGAGGAAGTAAAAGTCATGGAGAGATTTCGGCTGGATGCCTGGAAGAGGGCAGAAGCCATTGAAGGCAGCATTAAGGCAGATCAGTGTGTAAAAACCGTGAGAAAAGAGGAGTCCATGGTAAGTGTGGAGGGCCTGGGCTGGTTACTCCAGGGTAGATACTGCTGCAGCATTGTTAGACAGGTAGTTCAATATGTATAATTTTTAAAAAGGAAATATGTAACAATAAGAGATCATCTCAAGTCAAACTTTTGCAGAGACACATACATGTGATCTTTTTAAATCAAGTTTTTTGTCTTTCATTCATCTATGTCAACAGTGACTGTGTGCCAGGCACTTGTTTTAGGCACATAGCATTCTGGGAGTATAACACTGAAGGAAACAGAATTCCCTGTCCTTATGGAACTTTGGGTGTGGTGCTATAAAATATGCACTGGACTGCTAACCGAAAGGTTGGCTGCTCAAACCCACCAGCCATTCCTTGGAAACCCTATAAGGGTTGCTATGGGTCAGAACTAACTTGACGGCACTTAGCAACAACAATGAAACTTATATTCTAGCGAGTTGTCCTCTGGGGTAAATGGAAAGCCATAGGAGGGCTTTGGATAAAAGAGTGGGCTAAACCTGCTCAGTTTAGTAAATTCACTCTGATCTGATACAGACTTAAGGATAGATTTAAGTCAAGAATCTAGGTACAATAAGAGGAGCTCTGGTGGTGTGGTGGGTTATGCATTGGGCTTCTGTCCTCAAGGTTAGCAGTTTGAATCCAGCAGCTGTGCAGGAGAAAGATGAGCTTTTCTGCTCCCGTAAAGATCTGAAACCGCGGACACCCTCTGCAGGGTTGCTCTGTGTCAGAAACGACTCGATAGCACACCACCACCACCACCAGCAGTCCGGTAAAGGTGCTCTGGTGGTTCTGTAGGGTAGGCAAGGTCAGTGCTTCAAACCCACCAGCTGCTCCAATGAAGCTGCCTGCTTCTGTCAAGACTCACTGTATCTAAAACCCTAGCTCGGGGCCCTGTGAGTCCGAATTGACTTTATGGGTACAATCTGTATGAGTTAGGGAACTGCTGAAATCATGGAGGCCAGAGATGACAGTGGCTTAGAACAGAGTTGCAGTAATGGAGGGGATGAGAAGTGAACGCTACTTGGTAGGAGTTGGATATAAAGTTTGTCAGCAAGAAAGGAGTTAAGAGTGGCTTTTAAGTTTTATTTGGTCTAGAGGAATTTCTACTTGTTATAATGAGAGATCACAAGAAGAAAACACACTTTCTGTTTTCACGGGATATGGCTATTAGGAGTCCATGTTTGGACGAGGCTGAAGAGAAAGAGGCTTTTGCTGATGTTTGACCAGGGAGGAAAGTAGAGGCACAGGTCCTCAGCTCACTGGTCCTTAACAGATACCAGTGTATCAATAGTAGCACACTCTGGAGTTTTATGTTGCCTGTTACATTCTCAGTTGAAGAATGATTATATTTTGATGAATTTTTAAAATTAGCTTACCCATTTTGGTCTTCATTAGGATTAGCTTTTTGGTAGGTATAAGTATCTCCTGCTTTTTGAAAGTTGGCTTCATTCAAGGCTTACAATGGCGATTATTCAAGACTTACGTTAGTGCTGTTTTCGGTAACTGAGAGAGTCCGATGACTTTTGCAACCAGTCATTCTAGGGGCGGCACCCTTGCCGGTTAGTGACACTGGTGTCCCCAAGCTGCTCCCCTGGGTGCATACATTGTTGCTACTTGATATAGGCTGTGTACTCTTGTATCATTCTTACTGTTACTATATGTTAGTGTTACAGTAGGTTTGTGTGTTACTCGGTATGATTTGGTAAGTTACTTTTTGGCTCAGGGAATGCTCAAAATGTTTCATATATAAATGGTAATTGCTTTATGCTGTTTCAGCTTACAAACGGTTTCATAGGAATGCTGCACATTTGGATAGCAGCTTATAACCTATATTTAATAGGGTCAACTGAAAAGTACACGAATGATCAAACTTAAAACACTCATCATTAGCTAAGTTGTTTATTTCATTCATTGTACTTATATGTACACTAACACATTGAAAATTATCTCATTACAGAATCCATCAGTTTGCTTTCAAAAAAGTCAGATTTCTTCAGGATCCCAGGTAGAAAAATATCAGAAAAATTATTTGGCAACACAAGGTAGGAGGTTGTTCATTATCTTTGTAAATGAAATGTATCAAGAATATAGAGAATAGAGAATTGATACCCACCTTACAAAATCTGTAAATGTAATTGAAACGGCCCCCTCAACTAATGTCTACCCTAATAACATTCCCATGCTGTTGGTTATTCTTTTACTACATTGTCTTCACTCATCAATACAGTATTGGGAATACCGTGTACACCCTTGTGCAGGTGACTTCTCAGCTCTTAGATTTACACACATGGTTGTTGTGATGTGCTGTCAGGTCAGTTCCAACTCAGAGTGACCCTGCGTAGGGTTTTCAAGGAGCGGCTGGTGTGTTTGAACTCCTGACCTTGCAGTCCAAATAACCTTGTGGTCCAGTGCTTATTCTACAGAACCACACCAGGACTCCAAAAGGAGTTACTCATTTTCTGTTAACTACAATAAATATATATTGGAGTTGGTCTAAGTCTTCCCTGGACACCCCCCACCTCAGGTTTCCGTGATGTGTTTTGGCCATGTGAATTTTGCTGGAATCCATATTTAGAGTAGGTAAGATGCTTGGGCAACTCTGCTCTGGAGGTTTTGCCTTTGTTATTAAAATCAGAATATTAATATGCTCTTTGTATCTGTCAAAACTTGATAGGTTAGACTGAAAAGTTTTGACCAATCATATAGGTGTGATGTGAGTGTTGTTTTATTTTGTCTCTTCCTAATTGTTAATGCACTGGGCTGCAAGGTCGGTTTGAACTGTTTTAAGGTCAGCAGCTCAAGTTCACCAGCTGCTCCTCAGAAACACTATACAGTGTCACTATGGGTTGGAATTGATTTGATGGCACTTAAAAACAACTATTAATAAGGTTGTGTAAACATTTTCTTATATATTTAGTGGGTATTTCCATTTTCTCTTATGTGTTGCCTATACCTGTTCTTTGCCTATCATCTGCATATCGCAGGTTGTTAATGAGTCTTCTTCCAGTCCTAATGCCACGTTTTTCTTTATAGAACCCAGCTTCTCGGATTATTTGCTCAGCATGCAGGTTGAATAAGTATGGTGAAAGAATACAACCTTGTCACACACCTTTCTTAATTTTAAATCATTCAATGTTCCCATGTTTTGTTCAAACAACTGCTTCTTGGTCCATATAGATTCCTCATAAGTACAATTAAGTGTTCTGGAATACTCATACTTTGCAATGTTGTCCATAGCTTGTCCTGGTCCACACAATCAAAAGCCTTTGCGTAGTCAATAAAGCACAGGTAAACATCTTTCTGGTATTTTCTGCTTTCAGCTTGCTGAAAGTGAAGACTTAAAATATTTACTAATGGAGATCAAGGAGCTCAGCCTTTCGTATGGATTGCATCTCAATGTAGAAACAAAAATCCTCACCACTGGACCAATAAATAACATTCTTTATCAACGGAGAAAAGATTGACGTTGTCAAAAACTTCATTCTTTCACTGACCACCTAAGACAGGCAGCGTCCCTTAAACAATCAATAAATAAGGAGGATTCAGATGCAGACAGTGCAGACCCGGTCAGGAGGCCAAGCCCCTGTGTTGACCGTTCAAACCATAGGCTCTGAGGATCAGACTCTAGCCACCTAGTAGACATAGCAAACTGTCCCTCATCTGATTATTCAGTAATGCTTG